CAGCAGAACATTTATGTAAAAGGCGAGTGGAAGACCAAGGAAGACATGGTAACTGGCATCAGAATGGGCAATCGCACTGTCTTTGAACACACCCGCCATTCATTCAACCATGCACACTTAGATTTCACAACGACTGTCGTCTAATATTGTCACCAGATGTAAAGCTTTCTTGTTTCTCTCTGATATTGTGAGGTTGTTTTTCGTTTGGTTTGATATCATTTACTGATATTTGTCTAGCTTCATGGCACTTCACTAATGTCACCTCCCTCGTGTGTCCCGCTCTACCAGAACTGCTGTTGTCGTCTGTCTGTGCCCGTATAACTCGTCTGTACTGTATTGTGTTGTATTTTTTTTTTTTTCGTTTTACTGTTTTTCTTTGTCATTACCAGTATTCTGGTTCTTAGGTGTGGTGTTATAGATTTATGTGATGTGCTGATGAAAGCTTTCTAGCCGCAACGTTCATTACCTTGTCGTTCGTGCTAGTGATATTATAAAGTTGATTTCTTTTACTTTTCGTTTGGTATATTTTTTATGTGATTTCCATCGGCCTTGTCGCTCAACATTGGTATAAGTAGAAAGAATTTACTCTTCTCTAGTCCAGCTTGAGAATGTCCGGTCGATAATACCCAGGGCATGTTTTGTTCTTTTCTCTGGGTTTGAAATACAATGATATAGACAACCGAGTTTAGTCCCAGATGAGAAATATTTATAACTGCACTTTTCAATTTTTTAGTGTCATTAATTTAACCTTCAGTGCCATTCTGGTAACACTGGAACAAGCCTGATATGTGCAACTTCTGAGGAAACAGTTTAATAGTTCGATAGGAACAGTCTTGATCTTACTCAGAATTGTCGCAAATCACAAGATTTGTGTGGTTTTGTGAAAAATCAATTGGTAAATTTGACTTTATGCTGTATAACTCTCAAAAGGCAAGCTAGCAAGTGAACATCGTATATATATATAACGCCATAAATATAAACGTCAAAAAGCAATTTAAAAATGTATTCTTAATACTTATCGTGCAAAAGGGGGGGGGGGTGTATGAAATAACGTTGAGAATGTAGTAAATATTAATATAGGATGTCATCCATTTATATTCCACTACCGCTGATGTGTAACTGTTTAAACATCGTCACTTCTTTGTAAACGTACTATTGCCGCTACATACAGGCGCTCCGCCAGGCGTATACTTAGTATCTCATAATTCTGTCACCCAGACTTGGCTCAATCAATACAACACACCAGACAAACCTTGGCAGTTCCTCGGGTCATGGCCACGTTGTAGACGTCCAGTGTAAAGTCCTTCCGGTGTCCACTCTCACTGAAAGCCACGTGGCCCGTTATTCCTTCAAACCTGACCTGGAAAGAAAAGCAACGGGTAAGTGGGGTTGAATGTCAACAGACAGAATGAGGTCATCTGATTCTCAAGAACAGTCAATGAACATTGGGACACAGTCAGCTGAAACACACACTCACAGCTAAGGGTCATCTAATGTTTCAGTATTACATCCTCATGGTCGTCAACATCATTATTATCATTGAGCTGATGTTGTTCGGCGAAATCATTATAATCAGGTCCTTCTTTCTGGCGGTACGCAACGGTACGTAGTACTGGCTCCTTTTCTAAGGCATGACGTGTTTAACTGCTATTGTATTTACTGCTAACTTTGTGAGGAGTACCGGCATAATTTTTTTAGACTTTTTTTTTTCAAATATAAAAAAGTCCTCATCATTATCGTGGTCATCATCGTCATCATCATTGTCATCATCATTATCATCAGTCATCATCATTGTCATCGTTATCATTATCATCACCATCGTCGTCATCATCCTCATTGTCGTCATCAACAACATCATCATCGTCGTCATCATCATCATCATTATCGTCATCATCATCATCATTGTATCATCATCGTCATCATCATCATCATCATCGTCATTTCCATCATCGTCATTATCATTATGGTCATCATCAGCATCGTCATCATCAGCATCGTCCTCATCAGCATCGTCCTCATCAGCATCGTCCTCATCAGCATCGTCCTCATCATCATCGTCATCATCATAAATGGAGACAGCAGCATTGTTGTTATTTTCATCACGATCATACAGAAATTCCTAAAAAAAACCAGGCCTGCACTGAAAGCCCCAGGACAGATTTTCCAAACTTTTCCCTTCTTCTTGGCGTCCACGAGCTGTCAACTCCTGCGGAAAGTTCTGGTTGTTCGTCCACCTTTAGACTTTACCCTTGTTCCAAAAACTGTCTTGTGTGCACATCCGTTTAACAGATCTGACATATGTTTGCAGATTGTTGGTTCCATGCCTCTCAGGCAGATGCAATGCGACTTTAAAGGATGCCCCCAGTTAGTCTAATCTTATGAAATACTTGTTAGGCAGGCAGTAAGTCTATTCTTGTTTTTTCGACAATGGGCGCCCGGAACCCACATGGGAACTTTTTAACAAACAGACAGTCAGAAGACGCAGAAAACCTTCAAAAGACCAGAGAGCTACTTACCAGCCTCAGAGCAACCCATGCAGAAGAAGAATTACGCCGCCAGTCAGAGAGAGAGGAGAGAAGGAAGGAGCTGGCCGAAATTACAAATGCACGGGAAGCCGCATGCCACGAAGCCGCCCAGCTAGAGAAAGCCACCGCAGAAGCCATAACAGCAGCACAAGCAGCTAAGACAGAAAGAGCCCTGCTGGAGAAAGAAAGAAATGCCACAAAAAAGCCGAACACCAACAAGGCTGACAAAGGCGTCTCCACTGACAAACTAACAATGAAGCATCAGGCGCAAATGACCGAACCAGAACATGATGAAACCAACGAAGAAGACTCTGAAGAGATCCCAGTCATCACAGACACCGAACAGTCAGATGGAGAGATCATTTCCGATGAAGAATACACACAAGCAGAGCAGGAGTTTCCGACTGCCAGCAGTGCACCGCCTGAAGAACCGGCCCCGTACGTCTTCGACAAGGAACAGTTCATAAGAGACCAGAAAGATCACTATGCACTAGAGAACGGCCATATATGGAACGCAGAACAGCAAAAATGGGTTCCACGGATAACCATTGCCACCCAGAGAAACAACCGAGGAAGGCGACGACGACGCTACTAACGTAGCAGAAGCCAAAAAAAAACCCGAGCCGCCATCTTCCAGGAAAAACCAGCCCGCCAAACGAACGACGCCAGCACGCCACCAGATCCTGACATCAGAAGCCAGACCCCGCCCATCCCGTTCCAGGCCACCCAGGCACATATTTCTGTCCTTTTCAGGACTGCCATGTCTACTCCCTAAACTGCAAGCCACCCGCCAAGCCCACGCTGCTAACAAGTTGCAACCAAGGAAAGAAAACTCAGGCGAAAAACATCGCCATAAAAGTAAAAAATCCAGCTCAGATAGCAAATGACTCGTCCTTGAAAATACAGGCCACCAGGCAGTTAAAAAAGGACTAAGTTTGGAATTTTTGTTTTTCTTCAAACGAACGAACGAACGAACGTGCAGGGGTTCAAAGATACAATGTCCATTGTCGTCTTGATCTACTACTGCCTTTTCTTTCAGAAACCACTTGTTTTCATTACTATACGACAGAAACATAGTTTTAGACAGAAACATGTTATCCCAGCTCACTTGAAATATCCACAAAGACAGATCACATGGTATTTTTACTATAATTGTATAAACATACGTTTAATATACATGTATATCGAACTTAGCGATCTGAACTTCCACAATCATTTACAATTAATACATAAGCTAAGCAATATTGAAAAACCAATGTAATTGATAGGTGTAATATCCATAACTGAAATTTAAAAACTCTTTATATCCCAATAATAATGAACGGTGCATTGTTTTTTAAATCATTACTACAAGACAGTGACATTTAATTGACAATATTATTTCAAAATGTGACAGTTTTATTTGGAAGGGACGGCTTCATATATTAACTTGACGTATTTTGTATTTGCAGAAAGAAACTAAATCAATAATAAATTATGTTGTTGTTGTTTTTTGTTTTTTTTAAATGAGAATATTTTCAGGCGAAACAGGAACAAATATATTACAATTATTGGACGCACAAAATCAACAAAAATAAAGACGTATGCAGACTAGACTTAAAAAAAAAGGCCAAGGTGCCAACACACCTGTTCACAACCTTCAGAGAGAGAGAGAGAGAGAGAGACAGAGAGAGACAGAGAGAGAGAGAGAGAGAGAGACTAACGTTAAGAGAGAGAGAGAGAGAGAGTCTAACGTTATTTTAGCCACATTAATGAGAATAGATAACAGGGTTATGTTTAAGTTAGTTTCCCCAAACAAAGTAGGTCAGGTTTAATTCACGTTTGTTGGGCTGGTCTAGAGAGAGAGAGAGAATGAGAGAGAGAGAGAGAGAGAGAGAGAGAGAGAGAGAGAGAGAGAGAGAGAGAGAGAGAGAGAGAGAGAGAGACTAACGTTATTTTAGCCACATTAATGACAATAGATAACAGGGTTATGTTAAAGTGAGTTTCCCCAAACAAAGTAGGTCAGGTTTTATTGTTGGGCTGGTCTACTTTCGTGCAAGTTACGAGTGTGCCGCTTTGTCTGCTCTCTGAGTTGGCTTCCATTTACGTTTGTATTCCGAGAAAGAGAATGCCTGTGACAAGGGTTGCGGCACTCTCTATGGAGGTTGTGATAGACCCAGTGTGTCCATGTACTTGGAGTGTTAAAAGTACTGGCGTGCTGAAATATACAACACGCGATATCAATGGCAGTGCGGAACACCCCCGTAACCTTGTGCCAATGTGACAGGTTCAGAAACTATCAATCAGAAGTAAGTGAGCTAGTGTGTATATGGGTGGTCCATGGGGGGGGGGGGGAGGGGGGGGGGTACTAACGTTATTTTTACCGAAAACAGTATAAATATCCTGTGCTAATGGAATGGTTTGTGAAAATAAAGACACTGCAGAGATTCTTGAAAACCTTTTGTTGTGGTTTGGGATTTCATGTATCCTGCTGGAAATCCCAGGATATAGAGAACCGCTGGAAATGATGGTCGGCTAGTCTGGACGTATCTGGAAAAACTGAGTCAGCTTTCTGCCACACGGGGAACATATTATAAAGTAACAAACGACTAAAGGGCCTTTTTTCTTGCTTTTAGCGCATTGGGCATATAAGGCTAGACCTATATGTTATAGACCAGTCGGCACTCGGTGGGTGATGTGGTCGTCACCATAGCAGCCGCTTTTACTTCACAGGACTGTACCTGATACACACTTAAGACTGGGTCGACCTGGGAGCCAAGCTCATTTTTGAAGAAGGTCCGGCTACGCCAGGACCTGAACACACGACCTTCAGATCCTCAGGTAAGCGTCTAGGCTCTACAGCACGGCGGCTCCCTAAAGTTGACCATGCTGGTGGTACAATTTGAAATATTTGGCAATGTGGAGATATATTATCACCATCCCAATATGGGATACAATTTATTGTTATTTTAAAGCCCCACCCGGCTGTAGTCAGAGAAGTGATCCCTCGTCCACAAATGTTTCGGCCCACGAGCTCTTAGACAATTTTAGAGGGTGGGCCCACCTGAGTTCACGAAGCTCAGGCTTGATCAGCTCCTGCTGCACGAATTACCGGATGTTCTCGGACATGGACAAGACGAAATTGGTGACTATGCAACAGGTACTGTGAGAAGTTTATTTATAGTCGCTACGGTAGCCTATTAGATCTGTCTGCGTACCTGGACACCAAGTGGAAAGCTTATGGTTGGATTATCGGACAGATGTTGGACATTGTTGGCAAATGGCAGAGGGACCCTGGCAAACAATTCAGACACCATGGACTTTAGGGATAAAAAATATAACCTAACAGTTGAACTGAGTTTCTTGGGCTTGTTCCCGGGGGATCCTCACCCTAATGATGGCACTTTGTGTCACCGAGTGTTGGTCGCTCGATGTGCAGTTCTAGTGGGGTTAAACTATTAGTCAGTCAGTCAATCAGTCAATCAACGTGGAGACAGCAGGTTGTCACACGTGGAAGCAGATGTTAAACACTACAGAAGCCCGGCTCTCTAGCGTAGTTGGCTAAACCGGACTGCGCGATGACCGGGTGACGAACTCCTTGTGGTCCACGCCCGGGGGTAGGCAGAAAAGCCACATTTCTCCCAGACTTAGGGTATTTATCATGGAATCAAGGCCGAAAGATTGCGATATCCAAAATACCGAGCCTAAGGGTTAACAACTCATGGCTTCTGGATACTAAAACAAACATAACAAACACTACAGAAAAACCAGGTATCAGTAAAACACAAATGTTCACCTTCTTCATCTCCTCTAGAATCGCCTGGCCCTGTCCCACACGAACCTCCGAGTCATCGGTACACTTGACGGTCCTGCCGTAGCTAGCCATACGGTTTCTGCGCAGGAAACTAGGGTCCTTGTGTAGGAGTGAGCCAAAAGCCCGGGTAAACAACAAAACGCCATCTGCCGCCAGAGCTGCCTCGTACTGCAAAAGAAGTCAGTGAGTTTAAAACAATTTATCATCATCATCACCATAATCATTATTATCATCAGCAGCATCACTATCATCGCTGTCATCATCTTCATCATGATCATCATTACCATAATCATCATTATCATCAGCAGCAGCAGCATCACTATCATCACTGTTATCATCTTTATCATGGTCATCATCTTCATCATGATCATCATTACCATAATCAACATTATCATCAGCAGCAGCAGCATCACTATCATCACTGTTATCATCATTATCATGGTCATCATCTTCCTCATGATCATCATCAACATAATCATCACTTTCACCAGCAGCAGCATCATCAATATCATCGCTGTCGTCATTTTCATCAACGTCATCATCGTCATCGCCATCATCGTCGTTATCGTTATATTGCCCTGTTACATGCCACACAAGGCTGGCAGGCTAACCCTCCATTCCGTTCAATCCAGTTCTATCCACCCCATCTATTGGATAGAATCCAACGCTTGTAACCTTCCTGAACAACGTTCAATTTAGGGTTGCAAGCTTGCACAATGAGACTACAGACACGACCTGGCCGGTCAGTTAGACACGCAAGATATGAATTACTAGCACCAAACACTATGCAATGAAATAGCAATACAATTCGTTGACATAATTATAACCCATATTGAATAGGACGAGGCTAGCTCTCTGGTCAGAGGTTGAACATGGCTAATTGAAATCAAACGAACGAACTAACGAACCTCTTTGGCAGTTCTCTGTCCATGTCTCATTGAGATATCAAGTTTTGACTTGTAGTTATAAATTTCAATTACATTTCATTACTTTCAGTTATACGGGTGCCGCCCTGGTGTAGAGTCTAGAGGCTCGTCTATGGCTCTGAAGGTCGTGGCCCAATGCACGTGAAGGCGTGAAAAAGGGGTCCTTTACATACAAACATAAAACATGTGACACATAATCATCTTACGTTTAGAGATTTGGTACCAGCTCCTGGCCAGTATTTAGGGTCAAGGTTAGACCAGGATGCCAGGAAAGCCTCGGCGGTCTGGTTGTATGGGTCCACAAGTTGGAAGCCCGTAATGTTGACCCCACCGATCTTAAAGTTGGTCAAATTCATTTCCAACATGCCCTGAAACGTGTTACAGTATCTGTGTTATCACACTTTCAGAACGTAATGTTATCTGTGTTATCACACTTTCACAACGTAATGTTATCTGTGTTATCACACTTTCAGAACGCAATATTAACTGTGTTATCACATTTTCACAACGTAATATCTGTGTTATCACACTTTCACAACGTAATGTTATATGTGTTATCACACTTTCACAACGTAGTATTTTCTGTGTTATCACACTTTCACAACGTAATATTATCTGAGTTATCACACTTTCACAACGTAATGTTATCTGTGTTATCACACTTTCTTATCACTTGACCAAGTAACTAGAAAATCGAACAGAGTCCCTGGAGATGTGGGTATACAGAAGAATAGGTAATATTTCATGGAAACAGTCCAATACAGAAGTTCTGGAAATACTAAAAGTAAAAAGACAATTACTGAAAGATATAAAACAGAGACAACTGAAATACGGTGGGCACAATAAATGACATAAAACGATTTTAAAACTATGCTGGAGGGAAAGGTCGAAGACAAGAGCACAAGAGGTAGGTAGCGATGCAGGTTGGAGGACAACATCGCGGACGGGCAACAGTATAAGAGAGTGTACATCCGGGACAAGAGACGGAGCGTTTTGGAGATCCATTGAAGCCAACCTTCATTGTGGAGACGGCACCTAATTGATTGATTGATCACACTTTCACAATGTAATGTTGTCTGTGTTATCACACTTTCAGAACGTAATGTTTTGTAACTGCCGTTCAGGTATGAAACTCCTATATAAAATCATAAATTAATTACTTTTTATAGTAGCCACCAAGAAAGTAAGATTTGTTATTATGCCTGCACCAGACCACGGCTAACTTCAGATATAAGGTCATACAGCTCAAATGGGAAACAAAATAATAAATTAATTACTTTTTTATAGTAGCCACCAAGAAAGTAAATTTGTTATTATGCCTGCACCAGACCACGGCTAACTTCAGATATAAGGTCATACAGCTCAAATGGGAAACAAAATAATAAATTAATTACTTTTTATAGTAGCCACCAAGAAAGTAAGATTTGTTATTATGCCTGCACCAGACCACGGCTAACTTCAGATATAAGGTCATACAGCTCAAATGGGAAACAAAATAATAAATTAATTACTTTTTATAGTAGCCACCAAGAAAGTAAGATTTGTTATTATGCCTGCACCAGACCACGGCTAACTTCAGATATAAAGTCATACAGCTCAAATGGGAAACAAAATAATAAATTAATTACTTTTTATAGTAGCCACCAAGAAAGTAAGATTTGTTATTATGCCTGCACCAGACCACGGCTAGCTTCAGATATAAGGTCATACAGCTCAAATGGGAATTCCCGTTTTTTGTGAGGCTGGCATGACCGGTCGGTGATAACAATTGTTATCGAGTAGATTTATACACAAATTGAACTGCAGTTTAATTAATTCCCGTTTGAGCTGTATGGGCTTATATCTGGAGCTGGCCGTGCTCCAGACATAAACAAGTAACAAAACATGTTACATTTGACTGAGATTCAATGAGGCATTGCCCACTGCCTGGCAACCTAATTAGTCGCCTTTTATGACAAGCTAATATGACTGGCAATGGGGCTGTTCTTTTTGCCTCCCACCAAAACTCATACGGGGAAGTTGCTTAGTACCAAAGAGTGAAAGGAAATGCTCGAAAGAGAATTGGAGGAGAGGGGGGGGGAGATGAGTATAGACAGGGCAATGCTGCATGTGCGTCTTCATGTCGAAGAGTTGAGCTAGAAGGTGCACGTGTCAGTCATCCGTGACGACACGGAGCATAGGTTGCTAGAGACTAAATTTTGCCAGTTTCAAAGATGGTGATGTTATTTGTTGATAGTGATAATGTTGATGATGGTGGTGATGATGGTGATGATGATGGTGATGATGATATTAAACATGATGAAATGATATTGATAATAAAAATGAGGACGACCACAATGATGATGACGATGGTCACTACCGCGTACTTACTAAATCCCCCAGAAGAAAGTGGAACCTGGCGTTGTTGATGCTTGAATTACTCATCTGTAAGATAAACGGACTTCAGATACACTAACATTTGAATAAACATATTTGAGAACAACACACTAATAGACATATAGACAGACTAACTGATACAAGAGCATACAGAAATTCGGCAAAATGAATGAATGAATGAATGAATGAATGAATGAATGAATGAATGAATGAATGAATGAATGAATGAATGAATGAATGAATGAATGTACATCGCTGCAGTCGACAACACTCCCACACGGACTCAAAATTTCCTTCGTCAGTGACCAGCGACAAATCGACATGCTAACACTACCAGCTACAACCTGATTAGGCTTTTGAGCAGATGATTAGAATATCAC